AGCGTGCCACGGAGCGAGCTGAAGGTGTACCACGTGGGCAGCACGGAGGGACGCATCCCGGTGCCGTCCAACCTTCGGAAACAGAGGTCCCTGACCAACCTGGCCGTGCTGACGGACGCCGAGAAGAAGATGCAACTCTATGAGCCCAAATGGTGCGACGATATGAGCAAAGCTGCCTCAGGACACCTGAAGATGGGCAAGCCCAAACCGGCGGCCGGCAGAGGGGCGGGTGGTTCTCAACTTTCTCGCAACCTGTCCAAATCGGACCACTCCCTCTTCCAGGGCAAGCCCAAGATGTTCACCCCGCTTGCGGCACCTGGCACTTTGGGAAAAGGCCCAAGTCGGATCCCTCGAGGCCCTTACGTTGAAGTAAAACCCTTGAGCAAGACGTCCGATGACTGCAAGTCCGACGACGATATCCTGTCTGGCAAAGCCAAAGCGAGTGGGAAGAAACCGGTAGCTGGCAGCTCCGGAGACCCGGAGGCTAAAGGTCAAGGTGAGGAAGGTGGCGATAAACCCTTCCTCAAGGTGGACCCGGAGCTGGTGGTCACCGTTCTTGGTGACCTGGAGCAGTTGCTCTTCAGTCAGATGCTCGGTAAGTAGGGTTTTTCCGCTTTCACGCCCACTTACTAGCAGCTGCCATTGTGGCAAGGCTGCTGAATGGCATGGATTGACTGGAAAATCTCCAACCGAGTGCATGCTGTCGTGATTCTAAAGGTGGTCTCGGACAGCTGGACAATGCAGGGCTTTGTTCTGGATCGCATGTGCATTGTGCATCCGCCGCCTCTCGCACTTGTGGGGTAGAAATTGCACTCATAGATTATTCCCCTTGGCATATATCCAATGATTGAATGACAAAATGCTCGGGGGCGCTGCTCGGCACACTGATCTGCTTTTCGACGCCTGTCTGGTGCCGTGTGCTGGTGTTGCCACTCTGCTCTCATTTGTATTGTGTTAAGGGCTGCTATCAGGGACGTGGGTTGTATGAGAAAAAGAAGAGGCCATGGAATACAAAGAGGGTGCTTAATGAATTCGGTTTGTAGCTTGTCAACACCCTCGTTTGACTGTGGCTTCATCAGTAGACACTGATAAATGCTGTTGTTGAACACATGAATGAAAGCAAGCATGATCATCTGCCACACTGGAGTTCTCTTTGTAGGGACGTGGGATGAAATACAACTAAGCTTACTTAGGGATAATTTGCAGTTGCATACTGTAGAATTTGATTATATTTTATTGGACTACCTAGCTACTTGAGGATGGATAACGTATACGGTTTGTTATGGTTAGTGAATGTCCATGAGGCAATGTCAATTGCATTAATCAGGAAGTATGTTTGTTGCATTTAAAACAAATATCCCATTTTGTTTGTGCCATCTTCTAAACACAGCATGCCATGCATTTGTGCATCAGTCCTCAAACGAATGACCTCTATTTCAACCGTGTCCAGACCTCATATGTTTAAACAACCAATTTGGGCTGAATTCTTGCAATTGTTTGTGTGGAATCCTAGATCCTTCTTCTCCTCGCACTGCAATGCACAGTATAATTCAGTGGTGGGATTAAAGGCTAATGAGAGTAAACGAATGACCGGATTAAACCTTATTAAAATGCTCTCCGTAGTTCTTGGTCAAGAATCCATACAGGATTCCGATCGAAATTATAATTTGGGAAAAAATCCTGAAGGATCCTAATGGGAATAAAAAGTAAGAACCAAAAATAAAAAATGTTTTAAAAAAAAAAAACGTTTGGGAATTTCTCTTGGAATATTTCTAGCAGCATTGCATTGCCATTAGGATGCTTTTGGAATTCCAAATTTTAATTAATCTAATTTTTTTATTAAATTAATTTTTAATTTATAATTTGGTTTCAGGTTCAAGTCTCCCCTACATTTAGAGGGAAAACAATGTGCTACAGGGCAACTTTTTCATGCAGGATCTTTTAATCACAAGGTCTCTAAGAATAATCAGTTGAATCTCTATATCAAAGCACTTTCTTTTTTATAATCATAATTACACATAGAGTTTATGCTCATTTGTTCTGCATAATAAACCGCTACATAATAGACTTCCTTATGAGTCGTTCTTTTGGACCGTATGTGGCACATAACATCTGCATACCACTTTTGGTCACAAGACTGAATTAGCGCTCATTGCTTTCCTCTGTGCATTCACAGTTACTATTGTACTGCACAGCTGGACGAGGGTCTAAACCTGTAGGGGGCGGAAATATTTAAAATATGCATGAGGGATAATAGTGTGAGTTGAGAGACAGTTAAACTTAGGAAATAAAGGGCGAGGGCCAAATTTGGCCTTTTTGTGCCAGTCTGGAAATAAACCTGAATATGTACAGCAAGTTATGAGGGGGATATGAGCTTTTATGAGGCTACTGTGATCATGTTGGTTTTCTTCAGTGGGCTATGGGGTTTTCAGTGGTTGATGCCAATATCAATATCAATATCAATATCTAGAGCGTAGTTTGACTGATAGCTGATGGTATACCATTATAAATATACTTTTTATTTGTTCCTTTATCATCTTGTTTTCTAGATATCTTGATATCCTTATCAAGATATCTTAAAATCCTTAAAGGGATAGTTCACCCAAACTGACAATTCTGTCATCATTTACTCACCCTCGTGTTGTTCCAAACCTGTATTAGTTTCTTTCTTCTGTTGAGCACAAAAGTAGATATTTTGAAGAATGTTGGTAACCAAATAGTTGACTGTAGCCATTGACTTCTATATGTAAAAAAAAATACTATGGAAGTCAATGGCTACCATCAACTGTTTGGTCAAGAATGAGTGAATGATGACAACATTTTAATTTTGGGGTGAGCTATCCCTTTAAAAAATAACTTGAGAATCAGCATTGCATAAGATACTAAGTTTGTAATACACTTGCATTACAGAGTTTCTCTGTACAGTAATGCGTAAAAGTGTATTTCGTATTATTGCACTGATTTTGTCACGTGTTTTTCAGTATGAACAAGTTGAAAACAATTGGAAATACAGTTATATTCAAGATTCAATCTATGAAAACAATAAGTTAATATCTTATGCAGCATTGAATCAAGTAAATGTGACTTGTTTTAAGATGTTTTAACTGAAAAAGTCAAAAATGCTGTATATTTTTTTGCAGTGTATACACAACATTTACTACAAATTCACTCAAAAATACTTTTGTATGCATTATATATTGATAAAACCGCTGGTAGAATTTACCTGAATTTACTGTTGGAATTTACTTTTTTAATTGGTTATGTGTATATATGTCTATGTTATACATAATATTAAAATGTATTAAACTGCACCAGTGCTCACATCTGCAGCAGTGACCCACAAAATCTACACATGAAGCTGTGGTCCAGTTTGCCCTTGCAGATCAAAGCATATGGGGGAAAAAGAGCATAGGCTATATTAAATTTTAATCTCCCACGCTGTCGACAGCAGAGCTGGAGATTGCATTGGAGCATTGCACACTATGTTTATTTCAGCGGAGGTAGCAATGCATGATATTAGGGTGTTTATATACATAATGATTTTTGAGCTTGCTTTTTATTTGTCCGTGAAGCTGGTCTATTTGCAATTACGTACATACTTTGCAATGAAACTAATGAAATACTCTCATCTTGTCACCTGATTCGCTAATTCCACCATGCAAGTCTCTCTAGTGATGTAATTAGCTAGAGCATGTGTTAATTCTCTCATGGAAATGTAGTTGATTGACATGAGTTATCTGCTGTCCAGTAATGCTTGTAAACCACCTCTCTCTCTCTCTCTCGCTGTCTGTAAAGCAGTCCAGTCGTTAATAATGTCAGGCCAGGCGTCATGCCTAACTGCACCATGGGATTGATTGGGCATGATGTTGACATGCTGACCGCTTGCCCACGCAGGTTTTCAAGAGATTGTGTGGCAGTTTACAACTGCTTGAACAGAAAGCATTCGTTTATTTGGATGAAAGAAGACTTTCATTCTTTGTTCTCATTGTCAGTGTAGGTGATGTGATACCAGGCTGTCTGGTTCTCGTAATCTCATTTTTGGCATTCGGCTCGTTTTATGCTGCCTCCGAGGTTAATGTCGAAGAGCGTTAGCTTTCAGCAAAGCCAGGTGACTGATCAAGTCGAGCTGTTTTGAACATCTGCTTCACCTTTCAAGGGTTGTGACGTAAACGAAAGGCTGTTGGCTCTTTAAAGTGTCAACTTCATGTTTCAGTGCAACTTTGGGAACTTTGCCATCTTTGACTATTTGAAGAAATATTGGTGTAGAAACCTACAATATGTTTTTCAAAATACTAATTGTTTGCTAATTTTAGACTATTTTATGTTCATTTTTTGAACTACTGTTCAAAAAAGTTGAGGTTGGTAAGATTTTTTAAAACGTTTTTGAAAGAAGTCTCTTCTGCTCACAAAGGCTGCATTTATTTGATCAAAAATACAGTAAAAACTGTAAAACTGTGAAATATTATGATTTAAAATAACTGTTTTGTATTTGAATGTATTGTAAGATGTAATTTATTCCTGTGATCAAAGCAGAATTTTCAGCATCATTCCTCCAGTCTTCAGTGTCACATGATCCTTCAGAAATCAATCTAATATGCTGATTTCTAATTTGTTCAAGAAACATTTCTGATTATTAGCAATGTTGAAAACAATTGTGCTGCTTCATATTTTTGTGAAAACCGTCATACAGTTTATTTTATAGGATTCTTTGATGAATAGAACGTTAATAAGAACAGCATTTATTTGAAATAGAAATCATTTGTTACAATATAAATGTCTTTACTGTCACCTTTGATTAATTTAATGCATCCTTTGCTGAATAAAAGTATTAATTTCTTTAGAAAATAAATGACTGATCCCAAACTTTGCAAATGTAGTATATATATATATGCATTTATAAGACATGAAATTTAAATAATTGGTATAAAATGACATGAAATGGGAGTAATTGTTTTTTTGCATACTTACTGTACATTGCATTTTGTTCATTATGTGTGCAGATCCCGAGTCTCAAAGGAAACGTACGGTTCAGAATGTTCTGGATCTCAGACAGAACCTGGAGGAAACCATGTCCAGCCTGCGAGGGACTCAGCTCAGCCAGAGGTGAGTGAGAACCAGCACATGTTTATGGCATGAAAAATCACAGCCAAACTAATTCACGAGGATGCGAACTGCTGCTTTTCAATGAATCGTAAATGTTCTTTGGAAACAATCTTCACGCACATTTGTGTCACAAAGAGCATGAATATAAAAAAGGCTTTATATTATATACACAAACAATTACTTTTTCCACAACCATTCAGCCTCCCACGTCTTTTGGGAGAGTTGCCACTTCAGTCGTTCAAACACCTGGCTGCCACATTCACAAATACACAGTGAAACACTTTCCATCAATGAATGACAACAAACACACACACACACACACAGAGAGAAATCAGCTGGACTCCAGGATCAGATATACAGTCTTTTGTGGTTGCATAACTTAAAATCAGCAGCCATTACTCAAGTCCTCAGTGTCATGTGATCCTTCAGAAATTCTATTCTAATATGCTGATTTAGTGCATATTAGAATAGTATTCTATTTAGTGCATATTAGAATCATCATTATCAGAGAAAAAAGAAAATGGTTGGGCATTTTTGTTTGATAGACTTTTTTCAGGATTCTTTTGATGAATACAAAGTTCAGTATTTATTTGAAACAGAAATCTGTAGTATCATTATAAATGTCTTTACTGTCACCATTCATCAGTTTCATGCATCATTGCTGAATAGAAGTATTAATATATATATATATATATATAGAGAGAGAGAGAGAGAGAGAGAGATTTTCATGATATATAATAGAATATTTCATAATATATAATATATATAGTTATTAAAATTATATATAATTTTCTTTATATATAAACTTTATATATTACTGTATATCTCCTTATATATAACTGTTTTACCATCCAACCTGACAGAACTGGAGAGGATCTGCAAGGAGGAATGGCAGAGGATCGCCAAATCCAGGTGTGAAAAACTTGTTGGATCTTTCCCAAAAAGACTCATGGCTGTATTAGATCAAATGGGTGCTTCTACTAAATACTGAGCATTTTTCAGTTTTTCTTTTTTAATAAATCTGCAAAGATGTCAACAATTCTGTGTTTTTCTGTATGGATGGGGTGCTGTGTGTACATTAATGAGGAAAAAAAATTAACTTAAATGATTTTAGCAAATGGCTGCAATATAACAAAGAGTGAAAAATTTAAGGGGGTCTGAATACTTTCCGTACCCACTGTATATATATATATATATATATATAACTGTATATCTCAATATTTATATATGTATACATATCTACAATGTATATAGAACTTAAAGTGACTTAAAGACTACATATATTGTATATAACGACAGTATATATGTAACATCTCATTATTTTTATATGTATGCATGTATATATACAGTACATATAAATGAAAATGTATGCGCTAGTTACAGAATAAGATGCTACTTCCTAATGAACGTGTTTTCCTTCCCCAAAGGTGTGCTACGCTAGCTGTGCTTAGCCTAGCAATTATGCTAACTTTGATCTCAGGACCTTCCTGAGTTTTGCCTCTAGAGATCTCAGCCTGTCCTTCCTCCTAACATCAAACCTTTCCCTGCAGGCTAACCATTCACTGCTCTACTAAGTTTCGGAGCAGAAGACTTTTATAGTAGATATATAACACGCTTACTAGACCTGCAGCTAATGCTGCCTCCATTTTAAAAGCAGCACTTGTATAAGACTGATGAGCTTCCAAAGACTTGATGGCGCAGGCGTAAAAATGATTCATACCGCGCACTCAACCCACAGAATCACAGCCACGCTAATGTATGTGTGCATGATGAGCTTTTCTGTAACGGGACACTTCTGTTAGCCTTCAAGACATGGAGATGCATGACCTAATACAACTCAGAATAGAGGTGCACTGTTTGATTTTTCTGAACATGTCGATTCCTATTATACACCTGCTGCACTACACAATATCTGGACTCTGTCAAGATGTGCACTTGAATTGGAAAATCTGATTAATTACTGAAGCACATGGATGCTTTTAAGTTCTCATGTGCTGTTTTTGTTTAGGTCTGTTTGTCGTGTGTTATGCTTTCACAAACAAGCCTTTTATCAATTCGGCATGTTTCGGTAATGATGTGTGACTAGTATTGAATCAAAACCCGCAACAACACAGTGTTTTTTTGTTGTTGTTGTTGTTGTTGTTGTTTTTTTAGTAACATTGATTTGCTAAAATAGTTTTTATTAATATTTTGAATGTATTTGTATTTTTTAGATTTTGTTTTAATTTAAATTTAGTTTTAGTGATTTTGTTGTGTGCTTTTGTCAGTTTTTTTTTTGTTTTTTGTTTTTGAAGTTTTAGTATTATTATTATTATTATTATTTTAGTTATATATTTTAGTACATCAAGGTAAACTAAATGAAAAGGATAAATATTGCTTTGGAAAGCAGCTAAAATAAATTAAGTTTAATGTTTTTTATATTTTATTTGATTTTATTTCAGTTAATTCACTTATTTTTTTTACAGTACAGTACAGTAGTATTATTACAATAATATATTTCACATTGCAATATTTTTATTTTAAAAATTATAATAAAAATAGTCATCATAATAATTATTAATATAATTTTATTTGCCAAATTGTACAGCCCTACAAGCAAGCAAATCAAACCTGAAGCTCCTTTAAAAAAATGCTTTTTAATTTACTTTTTATTAGAAAAACTGCAATCTGATATATTTTTTCTTCCCCAAATAATTCAGCCATTAACAGAAAAAAAATTATGAGGTATACTGCAACAAATGAGATGTTTTTAGGGCTCCTTGCAGCTTTTTTATTTTTTATTTTTTGCCAAAAAAAAAAGCTAAATGATTTAATGTTTTAAAAAAAGAAAAAAAAAAAGTATATTAGTATTGTAGTTTTAGTTGTACTGTTTTTTATGCATTTTATTTTATAGTATATTATTATAGTTTGTTATTTTAGTACATTAAGTTAAACTAAATGAAAATGAGAAATGCTGCCTTGGAAACAAGCTGATATTTTATTTTATTTTATTTCAGTTAACATTTATTTCAAGTATGGTTTTAGTTTTAGTTAACTGTAATAACCCAGAATGATCCACCAAATTATGCAGCTTGTCTAAGCGATCCAACTAACAATTTTCAATAAAATTGTAGAAGGACAGACCTGAACCACCTAGCAACATCCTAACAAACTGCATAGTAACACACTAGCAACCACTCAGAACACCTTAGCAACTGCATACCACACCTTGGCAACCACTCACAACATTTTGGCGGTGTATTTTGCATGGGCAAACACACTCATTTTAGAAATGTAAAGATCTAGTTCAAGTCTGCTTTTGTCATTACAGTCATTGTTGATTTTAGTAATGAGAAAAACTCTATAAATGTTCTTGCCACATAGTGTGCGATGTGGAGAGAGCAGGACCTTTACTTTGGCTTCATGTAGGATGTGATGTGGCACTGAAAGCGAATGGAAAAGCCGGTCATGAGGTTTGGAAATGGCTGCGCCGTCACTGTGAAAGGTCCAGTGCAGTGAAATAAGGCTGTATGTGTGCTATTTTCAGATGTTTTTTTGAAACATTTATTCTGTCTAGAAACTCCCATGTGGTCCTTTATCACCAATCCAGGTCTTCCATGAGTGCCAGTAATGCTGCTGGATCCAGAATCCAGATCATTCATTCCATTTCATAATCAACTCAACTGATATATCATTCAGATACATGCAAATGACAATATGAGTAAAACTGAACAATTTTTTCCTATAGGACTGAACAATGAATCAAAATAATACCGCTTTTTACTATGTGTAATAAGAAGCATTTATAAGCCTGTTGCAAAGAAAAATAAACAAATTATTTAATGTTTGAAAAGTAATCAAGAAGCAAGCATCAAATTTGTAATTTTACAGTTGTATTATTATAAAAAGACATTATTCTTTTTATTAGATGCTGCATTTTCCAGTACAGTAGTATTATTACGATAATAATCTATTTTTTAATTTAATATTTTATTAAATTCTTATTTTTTTATTTTACAGGACAATAGTATTATTACAATAATATATTTCTCACTGTAATATTTTTATAATATATATAATAATAATCATAATAAAAATGATTGTCATAATAATAATTATTATAGCCATATTTATATAATCACAATAGAATTTTATCGGCCAAATTGTGCAACCCTACAAACAAGCAAAGCAAACCTGAAGCTCCTTTAAAAAAATACATTGTAATTAATTTTTTATCAGAAAAATATCTTTTTTTTTCTTCCCCAAATAATTTAGCCCTTAAATAGCCCATCGACAACAGAAAATAATTATGAAAAATTACGAGGTATACTGCAACAGAGAAGT